CATATATATATACATATATTTTCTACTTGTGTGAGATGGGTTGTTAGGAATCTCCACTTAAATTCTTGCGTTTTTGTCTGCATACCCAACATCCTCCTCATTTTCTGACGATGTGCAATTCGTTTAAAATATTATAAATTATAACATCCCTAGATGCAATAAAGATATCATTTATTTCAAACATCTTAAACTACACACATGTATTTAATCTCCTTCATAAATACGCATCCTTTAACTTAAAATCATATTAAAATATAACATCTGGCATAACCAACTTTGTTGTGCTTTTACTAAAACTTCTAACACCCAACACAAGTCACTTTCTCATGCTTTTACGGTAAAATTCACACCTGATTCGACCCACTTTGTTGTACTCCTATGGTTTTAAACTTTGAGTCCTACATGACCCACTTTGTTGTACTCTTGCGGTAAACTTTACATCCCACACGACCTACTTTGTCGCACTCTTATGGTAAGTTTCACTTCCGACGTGATTCAATTTGTCGTGTTCTTACGGTAAATTTCTAACACACAATATGACCCACTTGTAATGCTCATACAATAAATTTCTAACACCAGAATGGCCCAGGGTGTCGTATTCTTATGGGAAACTTCTATACAATTAATAACTGTCTCCCAACAACCACTAACAATATGTTAGTCTACTACATTTCACTTGTCATAAAATATCAACGACTTTATATTCTTGAATTTAAAAACATAGAATGAACAAAACATAATTTCATAATAAAAATTTATTACATGTAACCCAAAAATATCACATGAAACTCATATCGGTATGTAGGCCTCCCTGTCTCGTTTCACGTGACGTCTACGAGCTACGACCTTCCTTAGACCATCGTTTGAACTACAGTAGAACTTGAAATCTTCGATTCTTCTCCTACTGTAATTCTCATTGTTTTCTAACTTTTTTGCTTAGGGGTTTTGTACATTTTGTGTTGGCAATAGAATGGTGCAATTTTTGTTGGCTATCATGTCAGTCATTCGTCGATTGGGAGATCCAATTCGTACGAACGAGACTTGCAAAACGCCTGCACTTACCATTTCTTACCTTTCTCAAGAGTGCAAAATAGGTCCCTCCATTATTGCATGTATCACTTCATACCCTCCAATAAAATATGATTATTTGTAATTATTTACAGATGTATATATTTATGGGTTACTACGAAGACGAACCACACCAACATGACTTGTTTGTACCAGTACACTATGTGAGAAAATAGTTGTTAATTCCTAGTGTATCGCATGATCGTAAACTATGAGGAATATGATTCTCGAACAGCTGCTCAAATTGAAACACTTGGCGTAAGGTCATGATTGTGTTTCGAGTTAGAGTAACAATTAAGATCAATTGATCTAAGTCGTTAGTATCATCATAATCAAACTGACAATTTTTTGTAGGCTAAGAAAGAAATAGACTAGATAGCTAGATCATAGGTCAAAATTAAGACATGCTTCTATATTGAATTAACTTTGACATCTGGTTTTCAATAAAATGATCTCACAATGTGTGTCATGATAAGATCATAAATGATTCAAATAACCCATTTGAGGAAGCTAAATTCCTAATGACAAACTTCAACCCTGAAGATACAACAAAATCACGTGTCTAATAGGTCCCAAGCATAAAAGCAGGCCCCGACACACAACAAGAATATCATGTCATAGTTGACTCTCATTAGGACCTTCCAAATACAGGGAGGAGAGAAACAACATGTAAATCAACTTATAAATAAAATAAGAAAATTACTTTTAAAGATTTACTTCATTTAAAACATTTAAGATTTTCTTCATTGGGTTTATCTTCTTCCGTTGACGTGAGATTTGAGCGGATGGAAATTCTCACATTTTTAAAGCAGATCGTCTCAACTCCCATCGTACTGCTATATCCAAGTTACTTAAGAATCATGTAAAGCCAACGTGTCCTGGTATCTTCAACATGAGGCAGCATTCAAGATCTTATTAATTCAAGCTCAATTCCTAGCATCATCTGTCAGATCTAAACCAAAAACATATTTATTTTAAAATATTGAATTTGTTTTTTGATATACGTCACTCAAACCAACAAAATACTCACTCGTTATAAAGTGTTATATGAATTGATTTACACACATATTTATCACCATCAACATCTTATTATCACAAAAGTTTATTAAACTCTTATCTTATAAGTAAATTATGCAACATTTAATATAGTATAAATTAACTTTTTATAAAGTACTCTGTTCAAATATCTAAAAATTATTGACGTACTATAAACTCAATTTTGTTATAGTGAGTTTCTTTACTTTTTATACTAGAAAATAACAACAATTATTAAAATTTCCATATACATATTCATACTAAAATAAATAATTAATAAGTATATAATATATCTATATTGTATTATAAAGCATTTGACAAAAAAACTCTTAAAAACTATTTTTATGCATAAAGTGTTGTTTATTAAAGTTTCATTCTGAATTTATGTAATTAACTGCAGATAAACATAATCAAATATAAGATAAATATCTCATTTTAAATATAAAAAATCTAAAATATAATCAGACGACTTTGTTTGTTAAACCAGTCTAATATCATGAAAAATTAAGTTCTTAGTTGGCCGAATGACTTGAGCTAATATATTATACACCTATTTGATGAGTTGTTTGTTTGTTATTTTAGAGTCTTTTAGTAGTGGATGAACTCAATATAGCATGGATATTATCTATCCTTTTGCTTCGATTTCTTTCTCAATAATCTAGTGGTTTAACGTATCAAGAAATGCATATTTTCAATATAGATGAGATGAACGTTAAGTTTTTTTTTTCAATAAACGAATGTAATGTCTGAGAAATTGATAACACATATTTGACTCATACATCAAACCTATTAAACCGAGGTCTCCGATCTTATCCACTAGATCAATTGCTACAGATTCGTCCATATGTTGATATAAGCGTGAAAGGAAAGGAAAATGTACACAAATACGTTTAAACACAATTTGTGTTTTGAACATGATGATGTGTTTTAAATTACCATAAGCATACGAGCGTCGTAATATACGAGTCGATCACATAGGGAAAACAATTGAGCACCAACCAATGATGGGAATTCAAAGGATAGATGATTTAGAATGTTATATATCTAATACCGAAAGCATTATCGTTGTTATTCAAATAAATATGAAAAAAAGGAGAATAAAAGAAAAAGAGAGAAAGGGACTAGATTTCTCAAATCTAAATTCCTCAAAAATGTTCAAAATATACTTATACTTGGGATTAAATAAGGGTGCAATGCTCAAATTATCTTTCTAAAAAAGTACATTTTCCTGGCTTCTCAGCATCAGATACCACCATGCAACTTATGCCTTACATCTGGCATTTGTGCATACTATGTCCAATCAGCACGACCGTTTTGATTTGCTGCTATTTTTGGCACTGTCCATCCCATGCTCAAACAATAAAATCGTAGCCAAATCTTTTCTTAGTTTTCCACGGCCTCTTCAATCGCCTCAATCCAAGCTTAGACGGGTAACATAGATCACAATCTCATACCTAAGTAAAGTTGTCTATACCTTAAAGTATGCAACCCATGAATATGTTTATGCCATTTTGCTTGCTTCGACCCATGGGCATGTCCGACCATACTTGGTTCTTCCATGTATGCTCAAAACCCATTATTTAAAGCTCCATATAATCCTGATATGTGCTTGTTTAATGTCACACCAAAGACGTTAACACTCATCTTATTTCTTTAGCTAAAACTTGCATTCTTAACAACTGAAATGATATGAAAATCCACCAAAACCATGTAATGCACCCATGAGTCGCTACAAGATATAAATGATGCAAATGCAACTCTATAAATGAAAATCCACTCTAAAACATGGGACATAACAAAAAAAACACTTGACACACGATATTTTGGTTAATCTTTTTGACTCTTAATTAAAAAACGAACATAAAATGGATTATGAAAAAGTCTTTCCATTTGTTTAGCCATGCCTCTATAAAGAGCCGTGTACCATAATCATATAAAAGAATAACCTACTTCAATTAACGTGTCACATTGTCTATCTAACTGCTCAACGGTAGTTGTTTTATGTTTTAATAAATTTCTTTTCATTTACTGAATTGCTAACTTTTTTTAAATCTGAATTTAACTTCTTGATCTAAATAATAATTAAAAAATATAATCAAATAATAATAAAAATTTGTAAAAATCCCCTGGTGGTCACGAAGGTTCAAATGCGGTGACTCCGGGCTACTAGCAAAGCAGGTGGTCGTTCTGGGATTAGTCAGCTCGCATAGCGAGTTGGATATCCAGGTTAATCAAAAAAAATATGTAATTAAAAATCAAATAGTTTGTGTAAGGACGAAAATCGTTAAAGCATCTCCGACAGATTCTACGTAACTTTAGAATGGAAGACGAAAAAACAAATTTTCCAATTTTTAGATATTTCAACATATTATTATTAAAATATTTAAAACCTTTAAAACATTTCATATCTCAATAAACTTTATATAAAATAATAATATATTTAAAGAACAATAAAAAAAACACAATACTTCTTTTCAACATTTAATTTAAAAAAATTCTTTAAATTTAAATATTTTTTTCATTTTTGAAAAATCTTTGAACCAAAAAAAATGTATTATAATTTTAAAAAAAACTCTGAAATCTTCGTTTTTAAAGAATTTATTTCACTTAAATTAATTTTACAAATCTGAAAAAAATGAATAGTTTAAAAGAAACGTGAAGTAACGTGGTCTTAATGTAGTATCATATCACGGGGCCAAACGTCAAAAGACGGGGGTAAATGGAGGGAGGCCAAAGAGGTTTAGGCGACCTAATGGGTAATGGGGTCCACGCCACCACCACTAAAATATAAAAAACAAAAAAAGAGGGGCCCAAAACGTAAAGCAACGAACGTGGGAGGGTGAAACTGAAAATATACGAAATGGGATTTTAAAGAACCGGCCAAGGCGTGCCTCCATGTGATTCCTACTCCTCCTCCCTTTGTATCCCACCACCCCTCCCTCCTCTCTCTGTATCTCTCTCCGAATTATACGTCTGTAAATTGATAATCGATTCGTTTGGATACTTCAATTGCTCGGAGTTCGTAGAGGTAATAAATCTTTTTAGTTCTGGTTTGATAACTCGATCCTGCTAAAATTTAAACAAAATCATTGTTTGTTGATAGTCTTATCGGTTTATCTCTCGTTTGTGTTTGATTTTTGATGGTGAACTTGTAAGGATCTAGATGTTTCATTCAAATTTTCGATTTTGTTGATATTCGATTGGGATAATCTAATGGAATCTGTAGTTTTTTTTTCCGGTACGAATCTGTATGTTCGTTGTTGATTCGAATGACTTATTCTTGTTTCTGACATGATTTAGTTTGAATCTACAGGAAGTGATTGTCGTCATAGAGATTAAATTCTGTTTCTTCTATAATTGATCCGATCTGAAGAACAATTGCAAACGATTTTCTGTTGATGGCGTCGTCAACGTTGATTCCGAATCCGGTAACGAACAACACGGACAGAGCACGTGACTCGTCGAAAAGGAGAAAGAGGAAGAAAATCCAAAGGCAATCTAGTGGTATTGGTAGGGATCAGAACAGTCAGAACTTGAATAACAATAACGATCAGATTACGCCGTGGAAGTCGGAAGTTCAACAGCAAGTTTACAGCTCAAAACTCCTGCAAGCTCTCCGTCAGGTCCGACAAGGCTCCGGTTCCGGCACCTCTTCTACTAAAACTCCCCGGCGTGGACGCGCCGTCCGTGAGGCCGCTGACCGAGTCCTTGCGGTGACGGCGAAAGGGCGTACCCGATGGAGCCGTGCGATTCTCACAAATAAACTCAAACTTAAATTCATGAAGAGTAACAGGAGACAGAGAGGGGTGGTTGCGACGGCGACTGGCAATAGGCGGTTAAAGAAGCCGAGAGTGAGTATATTGAGGTTGAAAACAAAGAATTTACCGGCCGTGCAAAGGAAAGCACGTGTTCTCGGACGGTTAGTTCCCGGTTGCCGAAAACAACCGTTGCCGGTTGTACTAGAAGAAGCGACTGATTATATAGCAGCTCTTGAGATGCAAGTGAAAGCCATGGCTGCTCTCGCCGATCTTCTCTCCGGCGGATCCAGTTCTAGCTCCAGTGCCGGAGCCGGTAATCTAGGTCAACTCAGTTTTAGCCGGTCACCACCAAGCTTATGATATCTATACCTCTCTCTGTCTTCCTATTTTCCGTCTTTGTTTTCACTTTTTTTTCTACCTTCCAGTTTTACCGTCCAAGTACGTCACTGTTAAAATACATTCTCTTCTTTTATTTGTTATTTTCCTTTTTCTTTTTACCATAATATCTGATTTTTGACCAAATAATTTAATGCTTCAGAAACATGTCATACATACACTTGAAAGTTAACCTTTTTTCCGCAAATCATTTATATATCCTTGAATTGATTAAAGTAAATTGGGAGTTGTTTTCTATTAAATATTAATGTAAAAATTGCACCGAAAAATGCTTTGATGTTTATTGTTTAAACTTTAAGGTAAATAATCGGTGGTTCTTGGTTTATAAATTTTTTTAAACAAGAAATCATGAATTTAATAATTGCTTTTAGATGATGATTTTTTAGATCATTTGAAAAAAAAATGTGGAAAGTAATGCAAATTCATAATCAAAATGAAATATACATATGTTTTTTTATTAACTTAGATATTCAATCCGCTATGTGAGCTGACTAATCTCAGGATGACCACCGTATTTGAATATTCGTGGCCACAAGGGGTTAGATCTGCTATATAATAGAAATAACATCCCATCAAGTAGTTCTCTAGATGTGAAATTAATAAATATTATTTATGATATAAAAAAGTTGTAGAAAAAGAAATTTTACGAAACTTTGAATTCACGTTCATAACTTACAACATATATGAAACGAGATGTCGTAACCTCTTCATTTAAATTCTCAACATCTTGCTTATAAAAACAGCCAAAAAGACGTAAGACTTCAACCGTTGCACTTTTGAAAGTCGTCGTATTGATATCATTTTTGTAATGCTCCTTGTTTAAAGCAACAAATTTAACTAATTTTTTTTAATTAGGGTAAATTTATATTAAAAAGTTTAATAATTACACATTCTTAAAACTGTATGCATTTTTCATTATGAACATTTAATTTCAAACATAAGAAATACATGATTATACAAGATTCCTAAGTCACATTCATAACCAATACAGGATGTGATGTATTCTTCTATATGGTATGAATGAAAAGGAATAAATCATAAAATTCCAAGTATGTCTTTAATGATTTTATTGTGGGATTAATTTTAATGGAATTGTTAGTGAGATTGTTTTAGTTTGGTAGTTGGGGTGTTTTTTAGCAAAGAATAGACAGTGAAAGCATTTATTTATCTTCAATGGATCCAAGTTTCCATAGTCAGAGATGTGGGTAGTGGTATTCATGACCCTTTTATTACCATATGCATCTTGTCTTCCTCCTCTTCCTTCTCTCCAATGTTTTTATTTTTATTTTTTATGAAACCTGTTCATAACCTTTGGATCTCTTTTGATCTAACGGAGATGATCAGGTTTATTTTTATAAGGATGGGACATTTTCGTCTTTTGATTTTCAGCATATGAACATAATCCGTTGATTTTATTTGGTATGGTTTTCATAGTGAAGTATGTTAAGGCTTTATGGTAGGTATTTAAACCAGTGCAGGTGTGTATGTTAAGATTCAGGTTTTTCGTGTTAAGGTATGTACATACATGTTCAAGTTTGTTAAGTTTAATATGGTATAAGGTTCAATATTTTTCATTTGTAAAATATGTTAACGCATATTAAGAGTCGTCTCCCCTACATGGCTACATCCATGCCATTGCGTTTTTATAGCATTCTGATAAATAAATAAAATCCAAGGGTTTAGAATAATCCCAAGTCTAAGTATGGGGCCGTTTACTAAACACTTACTTGGTAAATGCTTACCGGATAAATTTCCTTATCGAATGAACATGAGAAGGACCATAAATCTTATCGGGTAAGAGCAATGAAAAGGATAAAGAGTCTTACCCGGTAAGTAAGGATCGTGACTCTTACCCAGATAAGCAGTTACCTAGAAACTTGTTGCATTTAATATGTTTTGATGTACTAAAATCTTACGTATCAAAATAAATCATAATGTTGAATCCTATCGGTAAGCACTTACCGGGTAAGCATTTAAGTAGACGGCCCCTATATGTTATCAATGTAATTATTAATTCAATCATGTTAGGAAACAATAATAATAAAATGATGATATTCAGTATTTTGTCATGTGTGATGAATTTATGAAGTGAAAGTACGAGATTACTCCTTTATTTAGGTACTATCCGAATGGATTTACGATTAAATGATTTTGATTCAAGATCACACGGTTTTAATAAATCTCATTGGATACTTTTTAAATTAGAAAAAAACTCTGGACAAATAACATCATACATTGTTAATGTTTCTTTTTCTCGAGGTCACTTTTTTGGCTTATGAGATGTTTTATAGAACATCATCGATCTTGTACAGATATTATAATAACAAGTAATAAGCAGTTTTGTATCATGGTATTTGACACTTTCATTTTTTTTAGTGAACACGCATACCTATAAATCTAACAAAAATACATCTTAGAATAAACGTAATGCATATCTAGTATCAGGGACGGACCCAAGAATTTTCGGATTAGGTGGCACCATATAAACCTGTTGCACCTTCTAGAATAAAACGGTTGCACCTTTCACGAACCTAATTTTTTTACCTTACCACGAAAGAACAATATGATGGCACGTGCCACCTAACCACCCATCTAGGTCCGTCTATGTCTAGTACGTCAAAATGTTGCAAAGAGAATATGTACTATTTCTCGATATGCTTTTTTTGTTAATAAAAAATTAAGATGAGTCTTAATAAAAAAAAATCGATGGTAGTATGATAATTGTCATTTTGGTCGCTAAATATTATAATAATGGTCTTAATTCACAAGAAATGCTTGATTTATTCACATAAATTTATTATTTATTTTCATTTGAGTCAACATAAACTCAGTGTCATCCAATATTTACTGTGACAATGACCTATGATCAACCTTATCCAAACTTTAATATGACTTAGTTTTACCGTTTGTTCTTACTGACATGTTTATTTCTAGTTTTTGCAATCGACGGTTGTTATGTATGAACAATTCGTGGTGATGCATTTATTGTGTCGATTTCTTGACACCTACACACATACACACACACACACACACATATATATATATATATATGTGTGTATATATATATATAGATAAGTTTCAATGTTGTGTTGTTACAGTTGTCTTTTGTATCATTTCAGTTTGGTAAGATGGTACAATTATTCTAACTTGTATGTATACCAAAATGACAGTAAAAAAAACTCATTTAATGATGCGTTGGCTTCCAACACTTTGAATTTTCAAATGTATCATATCAGTCTAATAACATGACATAATCAATGAGTTGTCTTTGATTCAACCGATATATGTCTAGTCTTTTAAATTAAATCGTTAATTATAGCTTCAAAACTCAACGTTGAGACGAGTATATGTTCCTCTATGCATTTGCATTCTATAAACAGTAACACACATGATATGTTTGTCCTAAATACTCAAAGATCAATTGTGTATATAAACTTCACAAAAGGATTTTCTTGAAAATGATTACATAACATAAAATACATTTCGATCTAAGATTTGCTTACCAGTATTCACCTATTCAAGTCTCCTCATGATTAATGGAGATTTACATGACTATTAACTTCAAGACCCATTAGATTAAGACTCCCATGGTCCTCCTAAATCCATTAGCACAATCAACATTGTCATGCTTTTTTCACCATATTATATTGATTTAATAACATGTTACAACAATCATTAAATGCTATTTTGTCCATGTGGAACCAATTTTATCCAAATAAATGGTATTTTTCATCAACATCAAAAGATACAGATTTTGTATACATAAATCATACACCCAAATATTTAGATAATAATTAAACTGTTATCAATTTTCCCAAAAACTCAAGGAAATATATATATATATATATATATATATATATAATGTTTTTGATATTAATCTTTATCATAATAATTGATATTACTCTTTTAACTAGTACTTTACACCCATCTTAATAGACAATCTTTTTATATAAAAATAATGAAATATATATATATATATATATATATATATATATATATAGGGTTGGGTTAACGTCAGATCAAGGGTTTTTCGTGAGACCCGTAAGACCAATTTATGTACATTGATCAACTTTATAAGCTAATGATCTAATGGTCTAAAGTTGCTAGATGACAATTTTGTAATTGTTGAGAAGTCTCGTGGCATTTATGAATGTTCAGATCTGACAATTGTAAATCTAATCCAAGGATTGAAAATTGGTCTTACGAGTTTCACAAAAAACCATTGGTCTCACATGATCCCTAGTTTATATATATATATATATATATATATATATATATTTATTTATTTACTTATTTATTTTGGAGTAAAAGATGATATGGTTGTTGGTGAACCCCACAAATTTATGAGGGAATCATGTGCCCCAAAATAATAGTGTGCTTATGCTTAGGTTCTTTTGCCCCTTATTTGGGGAATTGTCCTTAATTACTAGCCCCACTCTCACAAAACCATCACTACACAAATACTACCTGCCTAAGTAATGGACAAACACACATCTTCCACATKTCTCCCCTTTCTCCCATTTACTCATACCCACTTAAACTTATCATACCATCCAATACATCAAATTAAACTACTTTAGCTTATCTTATCTATAAATAGGATAATACCAGATGTATGTAAACCCGTATTCTATCCCAAAAAGCACACGTATTTTACATAAGTGTGTACTGTTTCTTTCTTCTTTTTTTTTTGTCTAAAAAGTGTCAACAACTTATACATAATGAAAAGAACTGAAAACAAGAAGAAGATTAAGGCTAGAGAAGAAAATGAAGAAAAAAAAAAAAGACAAACTACAGAAAAATAAGCAAAACTGTATAATCAAAAATGGGTATAAATGAAGAAAGCAAGGCAAGAGAATGACAGAGACAGATGCATATTGTTAAATGATAAATGTAAAACCGAGATATTGTGATGTCAGATAATGAGATGGAAGTTTAAAAGAATTGTCGTTGGTGTCGAGATGACTCTACAGACATATAATAATTCAACTGTTTTGATTCAACATTTTAGTAAATCACTAATACAACAGATGTATTGGTTTTTTTTTTTTTTTTGTACATTATATATTTATATTCAATAATCTATCATACATTAAAAATATATT